GCGCCGAAGGAGACGGCATCGGTGCCGGGACAACGGCTTTGCGAGTGCGCGTGCGAGTGACCGAATGTGCAGTGCCGTGCCTTGGCTGCTGCCGCTGCCGCTACTGGCGGCACCGGGGCTGAGCACTAACAGAACCACTTTGGCCCGGGGATGTGACCTGGGATCGTTGGTTAAGATATATGGATAAAATCCACTGTATCATGCATATAATAGCGTTAAGTGGATAACCTTGAGGCGCCTGGAGCGGCAGAGCCATGCAGCGTCGGTGCAATGCACACCAGAACCAACAAACACGAGCGCACCGTTGGGGCAGGTGACCCTGTAGCAATGTGCATGGAAATTTCCTGCTTATCATTCACTTTTGCTTACTTGTTACTCCTTTGTGACGAAGCCCTCACTTGCCGTAGCCGTCGGGTGTTTCGCTTTTCGTGCGCTCAGCTTGATCCATCCTTTCGCGTGCTGCGAGGATCCTCCTTCAAAAGACACTTGTTGTTCATCACGAATACGGTAACAACATACCACACGCTGTTCACTTGCGCGGGCCCGAGGAGTTAGTGGCGCACACACCGCAGTGCGCCGGCCAGGCTTGAGCCTTATCAGCTGAGGTTACGCGTTTTATGGATTCAAAGCGCTATCAGGACCTAGAAGAGCTCGGGAAAGGTGCGCACGCGCCCCGATGTGGGTGACGTGTGCCGCCACGTGTGCATGGCGGGGTGCCGAACAACAGAGGTTGGCGAAGTTGATGAGCATGGCATGTGACGCCTGGTTCTGGACTCAACCAGTGGATGTGTGGGCGCCACCACCCAGGCACCTTCGGCAGCGTAGTCTTGGCCAGGGACACTGCAACAGGGGAGCATGTAGCTATCAAGCGGATGGTGAGTTGGCATGCTGCACGCCCCATTGAAGCTGTTTGATGGGCAACATGAGACCTGTCAGATATGTGTTGTAGGTGGCTTTGCATGCCACCCTGTATGCTGGAAGCCTTCCAGCCATTGCGCTGAGCGCAATCAGGGGTGGGCGGCAGCGCTCTGCGCTGTGCCACTTCCTGGTGCAGCACGCGTGCCTGTGCGCTAGTGTCATCGGTGCGCTCTGCACACAGCGGTTCCACGTCCAAAACATCCCATGTGCTCCTGCGCCTTTATGTCTCTGGTGTGCTGCAGGAGCGCACCTGCGTGCACAAGCACTACATCGCCGCGGAGATCCTCAACCACAGCGCCCTGCACCACCCAGTGCGTTCCGGCGCTCAGCGTGCGCCGTCGATGCAGTGGGCGGAGAGCAGCGCCAACAGACAAGTGGCCGGGAAGAATGTAGCCACTGAAAATAGTACAAGATTTGGGAGACAGTTGCTATCCAGCGAGCCTGCCCATCGGCGTCATCCCTCATCGGCCCCGACACGAATGCACCGTCCCGGCCTCCTGCATACTCATTCCGTCATTCGCTTTGCCGCGCAGCACGTGGTCGGCTTCCGCCATGTGCACCTGACGCAATCGGCGGTGAACATTGTGATGGACTACGCAAGCGGCGGGTCGCTGCTGGAGCTGGTGCAGCGACGGC